ACTGCTGGTTTATAGATGATGATTAATACCTCCCACAGGCAATCATTGACACTTTTATTATCTATCATAGGTCTTAAATAGAATCTAATACCTTTTATTGTTTATCATTGATAAAACATATCTGCCATATAAACTACTGAAGAAAACACAAATAAAGCTCACACGGGTGAAAGGTGAATGGTTGGAAAGATAATAAGCGGGATGTGATGTATTTCTTGGCATCCCATCATCAACAGCACAATGATAAGAAAGAAAATATCAAAAACGCCATATCCATAGATTTGTTTTAAATCTGAATGGAATATTACTAGATAGGTTGCATGGAATTGTCTCCTCGATCAGAGTATTTATTAAAAGAGTACATATCTGTTGAATAATTAATGACCTGAAATAAACCTACCTAAGAAAAACCTAAGTTCTGGACCAGTAGATTTGATGTATGGGATAGTCGAATGACTTATCAAGTAGTTCCGAAGAATTAATTGTAAACAAAAGTTTGGCGCAGATTAATAGTAATGGCGCAAGTTCAGTTTTGTCCAGACTCTGACTTATCCCATCATTGAATGTACCACAAGATCACATTGTCAGATATTCCAAAATTTCAACCAAATAATGAAATCACTTGATTGAATGATTAAATGCTTATAGCCATGAAGCTTCGTGATTTTGGTTTATGGATAGAAAAAAAATACAGCGCTTATTAAAGTGTTCATGATCTGCAAGATCCACTTACAAGTAGTTATCCTCGATTTTCATGTCGGTGACTGCTACTGGAAGTCGTCTCCAGGGTACCTTATATTTCACTTACTTACTTACTGGGTGATTCTCACAAATGACAGCTTTACAGGAACGATTTAAAGGTGAGCACAAAGCGATAAATCCAGCAATTTATCAGGTCCTTCAAGATGCTTCAAGCTATTAACAGCCATTTCCAAAACAAGTTACATGTACTTTCAGATTCAGAGTCACTGACGGTGAACTGACAAAAGTCATTACATTGAAAAACTTTTCGCAAGCCGATTTAACATTCGCCTACGATAGAATTAAGAAGTTATATTGTTGTTTTCTATTGAGGTAAATTTGTCAAAGGCAACACTACACCGAGAGAGGAAGTGTGATCTCATCAATCAACATAAGCATATATAGTTTAAATACGAGCAATTGAAAACGATGGCTCTTTTGGACTTAAAATCCAACTAGCTGATTATTCATGAAATTCTACGTGAAAAATTAAAGTGTTACGTGAACGTATGCCGAGTGAATAAACCCAATTGCAGAATCTGGAATCAGACGTTTCGGAAAACGATTCATGTCCTCTAGCGATACCCACCATTTGACTTTTTATAGTGGAACTAAAATTAAATGAAGTTTTTCAACCTGGACTCAAAAGCATAAATTATCGCAATACTATGCCATACTCACTCTTATCATTCAATCTGCCGATGCTCAAAGTTGAGAAAAAATTGAGTTCCTATAAATCATGAGCATCATAAGAAACATCAATCAAAAGGTTACACAGAAGCATTCTGGGTGATCAGATGGGCACAATGGATTACATTATGTTAAAGCAGTGACATTTATTCATTCTAAATTACAGGTATAATTATACATAATTAAGTCAAGAACGTTTGAAACATGTTGGAACGGATGTTCTGTAGAACCCCAGCTCAAATTTAGTTGTTAAAGAAACCAAACCGTTTAACAGAAGCATTCTCGACAATCATCTACAAACGCAATCTGTGGGTTTCGAATTTACAAGTGCATGCAATGTCATTTCACGTTTTAAACATGTAACAGTTGGGACGGAAGTTCTGATGTCAGTCATTCACCTTCTGTATTTTTCTTTCGTTGTTTTTTCAATGTATCAAATCGATCATAAACTTGTCACACGAACAACTTGAAACGAAACAAATTTATAACCAAGATGAATCGGTCTAGAATTCAAGTAACAAATTACTGTCGTGTCTTTAGGCTTCAAGCTAAATGTTTTTGGTTGTTGGTCAGACGCTTTACGCCCTAATTGTATCTCATGCTCTAATTATAACATCATATATACAAGGTTAAAAAATAAAGGATGTGTGTAAAACAACAAACAGAGTGGAATACCTTTACCATGTACCTTGTCTTTTAAGTTTTATTTTACTTCTGAGGATTAACCAGATGTCAATTGGCCACTAAGGGATTGGTTGCTTATTAATAGTTAAAGTAGGAAAACAATAGCATATTAATTAGAGTCTAATGGACTGAAACGTGTTTTGTTAGTATGCCTAGTTAATAATGATATTTATTTCTCAAAATTCTTCTCTATATTCCTAAGGATGATCTGGGCCTTTCTCTTCTCTCACCGAATCAGTACATGAGGGAGGCGCATGGGGACGAGATAATGGTCAGTGAAAGCTCCCAGGTAATTTTTTCCAGTGTCCCCAACTCCCCTCTCCGCCTCAATGGACGTGCAAGCGAGATGCTCGTGTACATGTTACTAGTAAACATACGAGGTGTTTCTGGCTTTTTGACACTTTATCCGTTCCGCTATCACAAAAAACATCATCACATCGCAAAATAGATATTAGCGTCAGAAATTTTGAAATGGTACAAATAGAGGCTAAATAAAAGCCTGATAATCTCCTATGTCTGAATTTTCCGTCACTGGATGCTGCTCTCTGATGGAGCAACACAACATAAAATATTTTTTAACAGTCTGTGAGGAGATCCTAAGCAGTGGTTGGGACAATGTCTTTAGAGGGTACATATAGTTCATTGATACCTTTTTTCATCTTTGCCTTATCTCATTTTTAATCTTTTCTTGAAGGTTTCCCTCATTTCTGTCACTAGTGCACGTGGTGACATAGTGATCAATCATGTCATTTTCTAAATGTCACTTAAACAAATGTAAAATCGTGCACCAATAAAAAATTTTGTACATATTTTGTCACACCTATTTAACTTTGAGCAGCTAGATCTAGATCAGGTACGGCACGCTTTACTACTGACAAATTTAAATGGGTCTAAGGCAACATTTGATCAGATCCACAGAAAACGGAAGGTTCAGATTACCTTTTTTTGTCATGTTGACCTTTCTGCACCTTTTCAATAAAGAGCGTTTAAAGTGCACCAGGTATTACATTCTGTACGCTGCTGTTAATAGTCATCTCCAGTTACTGACTATTCGTTTTATCGTTTATCCCGGTGCTACTCTGCGAATAGGTTTGTCAACTCGGCACCCCTTCTTATATATCTTATATAATACACACAAACGGTGCTGTTGGACAAGATTTTTACGACTACCTTCAGCTCTTGAATCCAAATCTAATTGAACCACATTAGAATCAATACATGTGTTAGGTGTTGCTATTTAAAGGAATTGTAAAGATGTGTATCGGGGATATTGATTGCATCAATTTGCATCATTCAAAATTTCAATCAGATGTATGTTGTTCCTGCAATTCCACTAAAGTATTTTATGACGTCACTAAAATATGCTAATCACATAAGACCCCATAACACACCAACCAATCTATTACTTTTTGGCTATTGAATGAATTTGGGCTCATTATGAATTCGAGCGCTAGCGAGGCAGTGCATACGCATCAACCCAGTGACCTGATGCCACTCTGCGACTGGGTTTGTCAATTTGGCTGAGCTTTCGATCCAGATAGCAAATTCGTTCATTTGGTTAACTTATTAAACGCCTACTTATGTGGAAATCACAATATCAATTGTACTGTTTAACGCTTTGCGAGGGATTGCATTGGTCGCTTTTGCATGGAAATCAAGTATGTCATGCGTACATGTATCATTATTTGTTTTTTGGCAAAGGATATATGAAAATGTGTAATTTAGTATGAAATGTATTATCATTTGTAATTTAGCAAAGAATGTATGATAATTTTTTTTTTTAGCATAGAATGTAAATTATGAGAATTTGTATTTTAGCATAGAATGCATGAGAATATATATCTTAGCATAGAATAAAAAATGAGAAATTGTATTTTAGCATAGGAAGTGTGAAAATTTGTATTTAAGCATACAATGTATGAGAATTCGTATTTTAGCATAAATCTATAAATATTTGTATTTTAGCATAGAATTTATGATAATTTTATTTTAGAATAAATGTATGAAAATTGGTATCTTAGCATAGAATGAAAATAAGTATTTTAGCATAGAATGTATGAGAATTTGTATTGTGGCACAGAATGTATGAAAATTTGTATCTTAGCATAGAATATATGAGAATTTGTATTTTAACACTAGAATGTATGAGAATTTGTATTCAGGATTATACAGAGTCTTAATATATAAGGGTGGAACTGAACTTGATAAACCGATTGACTACTAGACCAATACTAATGAATAAAATATAACCTTATTACATGATGTGAGTTTAAGTACTTATTGTCTGGACCTTAGATCTATGTGCGTATATTGATGAAGTATTGGAAGTATGAATTCATAGCAGTTTTGGTATGTCTAAAATCAATCCGCCAAGCCAAAGCCATATAGTTATGTAATTGTGGGTTAAAAAATTTGCATTTGTACCAAATCCGGAAGAGTTTCGGTAAATCGTGTTTTAATATACATGTATTACAATTTTCAAAGTCAATATTTATGGGTCATGGTTTCAAGGCGTCAAAATAATGTGTCCGTGGCTATAAGTTTCTCGTTCGAAATGAATTTATTATGATACGACTCTCCGAAGACCAGAAAGTTTCGTGACTCCACCAGCAACATTGCCCAACAGTCTAAAGTTTTACTATCACATACGACTTCCTCTTGAATTTCATGGACAATCTCCATTGCTATGGCCAATATACTGATCAGCTTATTTGCATTGCTTGTGTTGGGTTTATGAAACTGCTGAAACTTTTGATATATCAGAGCGAAAAGGGAGAATATGCAAGACGAATGTAGGAGATAAAGCTTGCGATATGCTATTTTCATGTATATTCAGTGAAATTCTGATAGCAAGTCTCAATCTCAATTAGTAATGAAATTGAAATGAACATGGAATTTAGATTTATTTTTAAGGTTAAAATAAAAATAAAATCAAACAGAAATGAACGACAAAATAACAAAAAAGAATGACTTGACACCATTCTATGATAACACATAATTAATAAATAAAATCTCTCGTTTTTTTCTTCGTACATCAAAGGATATACTCAGTATGTAACTTTTCTGGGGCGGATAGTTTTAGAAGCACTTTCATCATCATCATCATAGAGATTCGGACACTTTTCTATGTAAAAAATTCAGATCATAATCATAGAATTATATGTAGTTCAAAAAGATAATACGTAAAATCTGTAATCAAAACCCGATACCAAATTTGAGTTTTATTGTCATTTTCAGAATACATCCCAGATATTTTACATATTACATAGAAGAGGAATTCGTAAATCTCGAAAATAAACTCGGATTAATTCACATTTTAGCACAAAGTCACGAAGGTTCTCGTTTTGATATAGCACAAGCATCACATTATAACAAAATTAAAGTTGACCACACCACAAGAACATAAGTTCATCTTATCCTCGCCTTACATACGGTTAAATTCGGACCAGAAATACTGTTAGTGACCACGAGGATGACGAGGTTTCTGTTCTCGTCACCTCTTCTCGTTTTGAAATGTTAGTTACCCGTAATAAGTCATTGTTCGAGTAAACACTTGGCCTATATGATATTTACCCATTTGATATTTTGAAACCGTTAGAAACCATTTACCATTGGTGATAAAATATAGAGGAGAATTGACACCATCATTTCACCAGACCCGTTTGTTTACTTATTGAAACTTCCATTTTGAATTTTAATGAGTCACGTGGTTTCAACTCGAATTCTCGTTTGTATCCTCCCCAATGTCCGAGGCGCTGTCATTTAATTTTGGATCCCCGTTTATATCTTTTATAGCCTGTCTTTCCTTTTTCATCTTCATTCTTCTATTTTGAAACCATATTTTTATTTGTCGCTCTGTCAAACATAACGTATGAGCTATTTCAATCCGTCTCTTTCTCGTGAGATAGTGATTAAACTGAAATTCCTTTTCTAATTCGAGGGTTTGATATCTACTGTAGGTTTGTCGTCCACGGCGTCTCTGTGCTGAATTAGGACCTGAAGAAGAACAAAACAAACTTTATTGTTAAAAATGACAATATGACACGCATTTCAACAGAACCCCGACACTGACAAAAAGTAGTTCCGACATTCGAAAACAATTCGACCATTGTTTTGTAATAACATGAATTATTTGCACTGGAAGTTTTTGCATAGATACGTTTGCTTTATCCATTGTTAATTAATGAACACCCGTACAGATACCAATGAACCTAATCGGTATGCCTGCAAATAAAGGTCACCAAGGATGATTGTGGTCAAAAGTACACCTAGTACTCGAAGTGTACCGTAACCCTTGCACTCAGTCTCAGCCATTATATTGCATAGTAAGCATTCTGCATTAAACATATTACAATCTAGCGGAACATGGCGATACATTAAATTTGTTCTATAGCTCGAGGCGGTAGCTTAAGTCAGCTCTTTAGTTATATTTTAATGTTTATTTTCACACTTTATATTGTTTTATTTCTGAATAAAAGAAAATATGTTGACCTTTTTAAAAAAAAAACCTCACGGCATTATTGTGGTAAAATAAACTGTTGCGCGCATCAGTTTAGTTAATTTTCATTCAAATTTTAATTACAAAATGCAGATGGTCTTTCTGCTACGAGTTTAATGGATAATTTAAAGTTGAATATTTTGTGGTTCAGCGTTGCACTATCTATTTTAGAACTGTAAGCGTGATGTATCAAAATAAAAATATCAAATTACAAGGTTTAATAAATTATAAGATGACAAAAACAAATCATTGAACTTTCATTAACGCCTACTACAATCCAGCAAAAAATGAAAAATAAACTATTTATGTAAAGAGACTTGTATAAATTTAAGGAGGTAGTAGCTCATCCTGTATATTCCTGAGTATCAACTAAAGGAGATTTACACTACAACGTTTCAGCTAAATGTAATATTAGATTTTAGATAAATGGTCCAAGCAAAGGAGGAGTTTCACTTTCAATTTCTCAACTATGTTCTATGATATTAAATTTAAGAGAGTATTTATCATCAAAATTAATATTGATACTAAACAATAAAATGAGATCTGGGTTGATATTTCCGTTCTTTACAAAATATATCTCACCTAATAATTTTCTGATCAACAAATTACTTTCTGTACGAGTAGAATAAAACCATTAGACATTATAAATCACAAAAAGTATATTATCAATATGTGGATTATCCCCCTTGTGTATATAAACAGATATCAACGTTATTAAATACTCATTGACCACAATACGGTTATTTTTAGTGTAAAAGATCAAAGATTTTTTTATATGAATAAATCATAGGAGCGACCAATTCATACAATTATTAAATACGCAAACTTGGCTAACCAGACATACAGATCGCATAACCGATGGATGGAGAAATTTTCCAGTCTTCTGACTTATCTTAAAACTATAATATCTCACATTTGTCCAATTTTTCATATATCGAGTCTTTAGTTTTATTCTTTTCTTAACGCTTGGTGGTGTTCATTAGGTTTTGGTTAACAAAAGATGTAAGTAGACTGTGTCGACGGCTATTTACTTATAGTTGACTTGAAACAGTGGGGTTCATTTCAATTTTTACCTTAAAACACTTTACATATTAAAGTTCTCAAAGCTTAAAGTTTATGTCTGTCATAGAAAAATGGTCATAAAAGTAATGTTTCTAATTAACAACACTCGTCTTAATGTATATTCTACCGGTCAGGTCATGCAAATTAGGTTTGCTTATTCCATCGGAACACAACAAGGTATCTATCAGGCCAAGTTACAAATGTGAAGACAACATCTTGCTAACAGCAGACCAATTTGGAATACATTAGATTAAACATGTTTAATAACGACATATTTTTCTGTAAATGATTTAAAACGACAAGGTAGCGCTTTAGTGGTAAGCGGCTTAACTGTTTTAAAGTAGAAATTCGCAAGCCTTTTATTTAAGATTACAAAATGTTATTATGTCCTTTGTAATATACGTTTTTAGTGATGTAATGGGTCGACAAGATAGTTCTCTGTGTAATATTTCCCAACCTAGAGTCTAAGTGATAATGTAAAAATGATGAAAAGATGTATAGATACGTTTCATTTCGCCTTGATCAAAATTTATACACGTGTAAGATATGATCAAATTTATAAAGGGTAAATGTGATAGGATGGTAAAGATTGGTTTATATTTTAACTGAGAATAAAACACCATGGCGTACGTTTTTGGTTGTATCGTTACATATCACGGTTAAAACGACAATATATAGAATATGTGTAATGATTGCAGTTACCTTGCAGTGTACAACGTGTTTATTTTACCATGCCAGTTTCAATAGACTGCTTTTTCTATTGATTACCACCTGTCATCATGTTATCACCATGTTATCACCTAACATAACAAACAAACAAGTACTAACGATCCAAACCGCAAAACAGCACCCGAAATCATATTGGCAATCTGTGATTGCAGCAAATGGACTTTTACGCTTAGATAATGGTGTCTTTATTGACACCATATTTCCTACTGTATCTATCCAGTATTTTTTTATATACGGTCACTCCAAGGTGCAGTGCTCTTTCCAAGGATTATTCTCAATTAAGTATTCAAGCACATACAAATATCAAAGTTACGCATAAGATTTGAATAACTACTTAAAAATTATATGTGTTTTTGATTGTCTTTCCAGACATAGCCTGCAGGGGATAACTGACAAGTATGTTACGTTTGATCCCCACCATCTACCTTTAACACAAATAATGTTTCTCTTCAACGTTTTAAGTTGAGAGTGGTTGTAAAAACAATATGCAATTTTATTAACAAAAATGTCCAAAATAAAGACTTTGCAGAAACTAAAAGATGATGCATTGAAATAAATAGAAAACCAATAAGTAACAACACAGACTAGTTCAAATTAGATCACAATTTCGTTTCATCTCCATTGTGACCCAACAAGTTTACGAACGTTCTGTTTCAATGACGAATTGTGGGATAACAAAACACAAAGAAAAGCAAAAAGTCAGGAACTTTGGTTTCGATAACGATAAAAGTCACTTTACTGGAACGGGACTGCTGTTGAAAACTAGCTAGATTTGAACGGAGAAGAAAAATATCAGATAAAAAAAGACGATTTGCAATCTAATTTTTATTAGAGTGGCAACAGCACCACATGAATTTTCTCTGCTCAGTTAAGATTTGATGACATTCTATTTGAAACAATAATAATTCATTTTCCATAAGTGTGCTAACAGTTTGTAATCGCCTACAAAGGGAGATTGGAGAGTTGCATGGTAAGTCGCTTGATGTCATGTGATCTGACGGAAAATAAAAAGGATATGAAAATGATAATTCAAAATCCGAATGCTACGAAAATATGAATATTTGAATACTGTCGTACTACCGATAGAGAGAGTGCCATTACCCGCACGATAACACACAATGGCTCCATACTGTAATGGTCTCAGTGCCTTGATGTGATATGATGAGATCAATTGCACGTGAAGCCTGTTGTAACTTGTCCACGGCCAACATTGCGCATATGACGACAATTCTATGTGAAGACTAGAAAAGATAGTATACTTTTTTAAAATGTTTTTAAAATTTTTCAAATCCATCAGGAAGTTATCCGACTGTTTGTTAAAAATGTTAAGAATTGTTATATGCCAGTGCAGTTTTGTACTGAATGACATACATTAAGAGTATAACACACTGGTAATAAAGACATATTGACATTTATTTACATGGATGTGTGACAAGTATTGCTTATAATTATAATATGTGGCTATTTATAAACTTTTAAGGATACACATTGACTCAACTTATCTTACATGATATTATTAAAGATTGATATGATTGAAACCGACCTGCACTCTATATATTACATACATCATTAGATATGCACATCCTTTGTCAATCTCAGTCATGAAATGAATAACATTAAGTTTCTTGAATAATAAGTTAATTGGAAATATTTTCAGTTTGGAAAAGAAAATCAGGTCGATTTGGTTAGGTCCAGCAAAGCGCTCAATTATTGCGGAGAATCGGCTGTATCAATTTGTTTCCGGTACAAATTGCTATCATGATAGCTAGTTTGGAAAGTTACGTATTACTTGCATTAAAGCAAAATGTAGAGGGTGGGAATATTCTACAGTTCAGAGACACCAGATTCCCATCAAATCCACTTAATTTCATCTCATGCTGTTAACATGTGATTCAGTTTTTATCAGGACAGCTAGGTTTGGAAAAGATGTTAACTTTCAAAACTAGAGTAGACGATAACCCTCTTGAAATTCGGCTTCTTTTATATGTAAATTCATTTTCACATTAGCTTATATCTGTAATTAAGTCAGTCACGAAGATTAAGTGTGTATATTAACTAAACCATCTTTCTACTAATTATTGTACATCAAGCAAATTTCTCTCATTGAACACTGCATGGCGTTGCCCATATTCATTAGTCTACTTAGGTGCAAAAGAGTAGGACGTAAAACTCCATTCATTTCATATTTGGAATCAGCTATTCTTGTCACTTTTCAAAATACAAGATGTCCGGTTTGTATGAAAGTGTTATTGTAAACATTCTCTCACTAATTATGGCAGATATCACGATGTAATAAGAAAAATATGGGAGCATATTAATAATGACAGACTTAAGTTATTTTTATTCATGTAAGACAAACCTGACGTCTGATTCTCATTGTGAAGAGTGAAGGTGATATTGTGGTCTTATCAGCTAGCAGAGAATACGATTTTGGGTAATATTGTATTATATAAAATCAAATAGAACCATAGTTTTAAAGAATAGTTTCACCTTAATGAAGTGAAAGCAATGACTTTTTGTTAATTTCTCAAGGGAATAATTTTGGTGAAATAAACAATCTTGCAGTCTTTGAATAGTTAAAATGTAAGCTCGATAAGATATTTTGCATTTAATGTAAAATAGTTATAAGTGATACTGAGTTTTCGCCTCTTGTGTACTGTCTTTGTGAAGCATAAATGAGTTTGTTAACACAAATGATCTTCATTTGTTACCTTCAGATTAGAGAAACTATTTTTGCCATTTGTATTAAAAACAGATCAGTTTCGCGAGAACTCGAAATGAAATTTGTCCATCTAAGTGCTCTTTTCATGCCACCCGCCTGTATTTATTCCTTTCAATGAAGGACATATTCTTAGTTCTTATTCTTAGCATATGCAAGAGAATTTATCTAAAACGTTATCTACTTAGCTACCTCAAACGGCCATCTTATCTCGATAACTTAATTTCTTTGAAAGAGTTATTTACATACACAACTAAAATATGCAATAGAAAATATTACCGCAATTAGCATACATAAACATTGGACTCTCAACCTAATAGAAATCTACCAGATTGATTAGCGAATGCACTAGTTCTGTCTGGGGATAATGCCAATATCCTTGCTGCGTTGGAAGGTCATGGCTAGTCTTAGCTTTTAGTTTAATTAGATAACAGTTTGATATCGTGCATTAGAAATAACTACTGGTTGAAACAATCTAACTAAATGTTCTTTTCATTAACGATAATGTTTCCCTTCGGACTGGATAAAGTAATAGATCTGTGTTTCCAGCTGCAAATCTGCAATATTTCCTAATATGATCTCCCTGAGTATTCGGATTTGAAATTCACTAGAGAAGTTCCGTTTCGAGGTAAATATAATTTCCCTGTGACAAGATAGATGGGTTTAGTTCACGAACAAGTCCTTCTCTTTATCACAGCCATTATACAAATAAAATGAAATTTGTTAAATTACGTCATTGCATGTCCCTTTTAATACCATTTTCTCTAGGTCTTCTGAAGAGTTGTTAAGATAAACAATGAGAATTTTATCAAATTCGGCATAAACATTATAAATCTTAATAAATTGGAGTAGAAATGAACGTCGTGAATTATGAGAGGATGTCATTATTTCACACCCCGTTCATTTCTTAGCTCTTTATACCAGCTAAAACATCTCTTCACATCAGTTATCATAATCTTGCCATGTCCGAAATGTGGATTAGTAATTTATAGGAGGCAGTCATTTTCATCAGAATCATTATTTACTTTTGGGAAATGGTGTATTCTGATAAGACGGGTGTCGACGAAATCCCTGATATAAGCCAATATTTCTGTCATTATAGAGAAAACCTAAGAATATTAAGAAATAAACTGGAGATAATGAACTTTTCTATTAACTCTGTAGGTTGTAATGGAGACAAATTGACTGAGCCTAATGTTTATTAGATTAGCTTATTAGTTCTAGAATTATTTTAGTAAGATTACAAGCAAGTAGGTTTAGTTACATGATTCAGGTACACGAAATCGGTTAACACTAAGCGAATATTCAAAGAATAAATCTGAATTGAAATTATTATGTAACTTTTCGGCCTGAGTTTCTTTAAAAGTAGACAGGTGTTAAAAATGGATACCTGAACTTAAGACAAGTTAAACCAGACAGTATAAAAATCTGACATTCACGTAGTATTTCTTATATCTACATAAATTATAGTGGACTTAATGAACACTTGTTTTGCCTGAAACCTTAACTTAATCTTTCTTAATCCCTCGTCAAACATAAAAATGATACATAGACATTTTTTTCAAAGAAAGTTTCATACTTCTCGGTCAATTTTCTTCAGCTTTTGTCCGTATATTTTTAGTTTAATTGATGAACACTAGACCTATTTGTATTATCCTACATCGTTCTTAGAATTTCACTTGCATAACAACATGTTTCAATAATAAACTTTATATCAACTGTTTTAATATCGAATGCAAAAAGCATTGCTTATATTATTTCATGAAATTGGAAACACTTTTATAAAAAAAATACCCAGGAAAATAAAGTATAACCTTTGTTATTTCTAAAATGTTATAAATTCAAGTTTAAATTCTCGTTTCAATGCTTGAATGAAATAATTCTTAACGTGACCATTTGGCTTGAAAACGTCAGTGAGAACTTCTTTTGTGCTTGACAATTTTATTTTCCTTTTAATGCTGTTTTATTTCTTCTTTTTGTGTAACTGAAACTAGAGCAAACGGGTATTTCAATTAAGAAAAGGAATTCAATTGTAGAAGATGAACGATAAGCCAGCTAACCCCGTATTAACCCTATCGTTACCCATCGTCTCCGATTACTGGTTTCTGGACATTTTATGACGATAATAAATTCTTGGTTGTGACTGGAATACGAGTGTTGTGCTCTTTAAATTCTGGGTCCAAGTTTTACTGCCTTTTTACAAGCTACACATTGCCATAGTAACCTTATTTTACTGGTTTGTCTTATAGGATATTGGTCCAACATTGAATTTAAATGTTATTTTTATTTCTCGACAAAAGGATAAGAGTTAATACTTGATGGTATAATGTTCAGAAATGGATATTAGTGAGAAGGGAAGGAGATTAACAAATGGATATCTAAAACCAAAAATATTTCCTTCAATATAAAATACCGAGTGCTCTGGATATATACTATGATTTGGATTGTATTAATAATGCATTAGTTATCTGGCTTGGATTACAATTGGTAACATTTTATTTTTTAGTATTTTCTAATGATTTTAGAATTTTACCCAGCTTACTTGCAGATTTCACTGAATATGTATTTATGGAAATTTGTTACAAAATTTGTCAAATATTGTGCACACAAAAATTCAAGTAAATACGTGTGTCGTTGAACTTTTGCTCTCTAATTTTTTCCATTCATTGTCAAAAATTTCAGAGCAAATTTCCATTTGTATACATCTATAAATACTTTGTTAATACAATTTTATTGACATTTAACAAATGTTACATCGATTCGCATAAATACCGTCTATACAACCTCTCAATTATACATTAGCCGATTGCCAATTTTCAAGCTCAGTGTAACGTTTTTGTGACAAAAATAGCATTATATTTAGTTCTTTTCGTGACATTAAAATACATTTTGGTAAAATCATTGACTAATTCTAATATATTATCTTTGTTTTCAACCGTAATGTATTAATTATACATTTATCATTTTCCACTCCGTTGAATTACATTACAGATTATTTCAGTTTCTCAAAATCCGAAGCCAATATTGTTGTTCTACTTTGAAAAAAATACAAAAATAAGCTACCTCGCAAGTATTAATAAAAATTTGTAACTAAATGTTCAATTTATTGTCTGAAATATTTTTTGAAGATTAAAAACTGTATTTAAAATTTTGTTTTAATAAAAAATTAAATATTAACGTACTTTTAATATTAAGTATTTTTTTTAATATTTTTATTTTTAGATAAACATTAAAGTTAGAATCTTGAAAAATTCCTTTTAAGTTTTATCTCATGAATAATGTATCGTACAATTTACCTGAGCGCTTTTGTGTTATTTCTTTCTTTTAACAAATCCAAATCCCTTTTTAAATATTTTGAAAATATTTGTTTCAAGTCCACGGGGTGTCTCCTGATAGTCCAGACAAATATCCAAAGTACCCGATGGAATTAAAACACAAATTGCATGAAGATTGAACAAACAGACCAAAAGAACCATTCATGCGTTAGCTTCGGTAAATAAGATAACTTGCTATAAATATTTGATAGCTTTTCTTGTAAAATTGACAAAACCTTATAAAATATTGATGCGATGTCGGAATGTTAACTGTTATTTACAACAGTCGATCGCTTACTTTATTTCAATACTTTGCCACCCAACTATTTTCTGTGTAAAGTCAAATATTACACGCAGTCCTATTATATGTTCTAATATAAAGTTAGCGTATAATATATCTCTTTTACGACTCCCATTACCTGTAATTTACGACGAATAACTTTATTACTGAATGAGGTAGTTATGATATAAAAATTCACGAACAACTAAATTTTATTTCATAAAGTCTAACCAAGTTAAAAGCATGTTAAACTTTTATTTCTTCTGATGTTTACCTTACTGTATGATAATTCAGGCAATAACAATTACACTAAAATTATGTTTTATGCTTTCAATTATATGTGATTTATATGAGGAAATTTATGATGTTATCACAATAGAATGAAGTATTTTGTTCAAGTAATCTTAACACCTAGATAATAACTCGACAATTAAACTAATATTATACAATATACACTACAATTACTTACCTACAATACCCATCCATGGATAGAAGGGAGCTGAGGGTTCGGATGCTTTAGGAGAACCCTCATCCATGTCTTTTGGTGATGTCATACCATTTCCCATACCCTTCATATCTAAGGGACTGCCATACGGACTTTCTGCTTGATGCCGGGTAGGGGACGGTGTAGACCCTGCATGTGTCCAATCCACATTTTGTTGATAGCCTGAGGTATAGCCTCTAGGACTGATGTCCTCGGTACTATATGGTTTAGAATCGTAACTGGACTCTTGTCCCACATATTGTCCTGTAGATTTTTGTTGTTGATAATAATGTCCTGTGGGGGTATGTTCACTTCCATACCCACTACCCCCATGATATCCTAGTTGATCAGCAAAACGCGATGAATATAGTCCATAGTTATTAGGTGGTGTATAACCATTCGGTGCTGAATAATGCCCATCGGCAGAATACTGCGGTAAAAACGATGCCGTGAAATACGAATTCATTTTTAACTTTTAAGAATCATCCAGAGAAAATTCTAACTACATGACCTACACGATACGTGTGATTTGTGAGCCTACTCACTCTCTCTCGTCCAAAATAAATCATTTACATGGTAATCCGACTCGTAGTGTTTCAAACAGCCAATCAGCACGCGTGTTACATCTCGTATAGGCTAACGACCGAATCACAACTCGACCTGTGTAATAAGAGCGCGCTAAGAGAAGTATCGACTGACGAATTATTAGCAGACGACATTTTACTGTTGATGATATATTGGTATATAATGAATATTGAAATATAAGATATTATAACCACCTCAATATGACAAAACTCTTTAGTTTTTTGATGACTCAATTACAGAATACAATGTTAATCAAACCGGTATTTTAAATAGAGATATCATTGATATAACAATGGGTAGACATAAAATAGTTCCTCATATCTTATACTTCTTCATACTAAAATAAATATAATTTATGTATGATAATCAATAAAGATTAACTATGTTAATTGAAGGTTTAAAATCGTATAAAAGACTAAAATAGATAACAAATTGACCACGACCAATTTACAATAGGGTCATTTCTTTGATGGCTGATGTCACTTGTAAGTGTCTAAGAAAAATTTTATTCACGATTCCTTCCAACAGAAACATATATGGGATAGGGGACAGAAAACTAATGACGTATTTTGTATTTAAGCAGTTGCCAATCAATAATGACTTTTTAGTACTAATGGCGAAAGATAATGTAATTATTTCAGACAGAAAGTGCGCGCATAATAAAATTCCAAAAGAAAGTTTGTTGTTATTATAAAACAAAGCGATTTAACAAAAATAAAAAAATTCAATAAAAACTTTGCACTAACCATCAACAAATAGTAAATAAAACTGTCTAAAAATGAATAATAAGAATATAATAATTCATCATGAATATTTTTTTATCTTTTCGATAATTAGATTTTCATTTTGTATTTGATTAAGTATTATGACAATAATAACTATTCGATAAAAAGATCTATTTTATTGCATATTTTTTTGAAAATGGTGAAAACAGGTCGACGCCATATTGGAGAGTTAATTGTACAAAAGTCATATAAAGAAATGCTCTCGATCGTTATCATGTATCCAACAATCGTAAAATAGAAATAAAATTCTCAATGTTGAGTCTACAAACTTCTCCTGCCTCGTTAGATTTATTTTACAGTTTATCTTTCTTTAATATTTATATGAAAAATTCATTTATAAAAAATCTCATTGATAAATCTTTATGGGCGAATTTTACGACCGCGGAGTATTGAAAATGTGAACCCCATGAAATAAAAAGGGCGACCATTCTTTCAATAAATGATAACAATAAAACAATATTTAGATAAATAGTGTAATAAAAGCAATTGTATTACAATTATTGTTGAAAACAATGATTCAGATTTCTTTATCCAACTAACACTGGTCAGATTTTTCTTATTAAGAATCTCTAATGACAAATACCTTCTATAGACTCAAAGCTTGAAAATAATTTTTTTTTAAATTGTTTGCAATTGATTTAATGGCAGTAAGACTGGCATAAGTTTGACATCTACCTTAAATTTCTAAAATTTTCCAAACATTTTGGACATCTTAAAATTCCGATTTCTGTAAAAGAGACATGATCAAATTACATATAAAACCTTACGGTGTTAAATTGACAGGAAAGTTTCCGAGTATGTTCAAACTATTTCATATACTTGATACAGCACAATGTTTTTTGCCCTTTATTCACGGTCCTTTGTCCGCATATTATTCATAATTGGTACAATTTTCCCATAAAGAAATTTTCTAGTTGTACAGGAACGGAAAACTTACGACATGATAAGATACTCATCTTGTCAAACAATGGCATTATCCATTGTCATATTAGAAACATTCAGACGACTATTGGTTGAAGTACCTGATAATATTTATTCTCTCAGATAAAGTGATTATTTTGAACAATAAATTTAATACACCATACATATTGGCAATTAGCAGAGAACAACATAGTTAATTCTATGGTGACTGAAGACATTGTACCTGTCAATGTATAGAATGATGATATCTAGAACAGGTTTCAATTCAATATTATTGTTAAATTGTGTGTTAAAAATAGATAATCGGTAAATATTATGAAGCTGAAAATTGACAACAATCCAACTATAAATTATTAAATGTACAATACAACTTTTATTAAAGGGCAGCAGCTTGCTGTGAAAGACATAACAACTGATCTTGTATAAATCACCAGATACTATCAGTAATTTGTGTTCGCACCTTTATTTACTTTCAAAACACTTTTATAGACTTATAAAGTCAGTTGACAGAATTTTAATACAAATTTCCTGTGCCTTAATTCTACTTCATTTTAGACTAACTCTGAGGCACGTAAACTTAACAGAAATGGCACGTGAAAACAGAGACTCGACAGAGCGATACCAACTACCATTTTGCAACTTTTTCCATTTAGGGACCAATAGTAGTTCCAAAAGTAGTTCTTAACGTCATATCCAGTAATAATGAATGTAAACACTTCAAAACTTTCCTTCAACAAAGTTCAACCCATGCTTCTTCTGAATTGTTGTTTTCAAACTCAGTTCTTTGACCCCCAGTAGCGAACAGTGTTTTTCAAAATTGTCCACTTGCTCGGTACTACAGGGTAAACGAACCAAGCCCATTTCTCGGAGTAGATCTCGATCAACCTTCGTGAACAAAAAAAAAATATAAAGACCATCAACTCTGATTGCGCAAAAGTAAATTAGAACAAGCACTAATGATGTTGAAGTGAGGTAATTTAATTGAAATGTCGAAAATAGGCATAAAACATTGCAACAATACTACAATTTAGACAAGTAAATTAGGCAAGAATGATGTAATGGAGAAATTTGAATGACAAATTAGTTTAGTAATCAATGCTACAACTCGGAACATCATTTCTCAGATCATTCCTAATCAATTATCTAAATCGTCTCCAAAGAAGAATGAAAAGCTTTCAAATCAGATACTAGTAAATTCAATATTCTTCATTGAAACAAGTAACTCTCCGAACTATACTATTTCACTGCACTACATAAATGAAAGGTACAAGTGAAACATGAAATTGTTTGGGATTTTCTCTTCAGACAGATCCTTATCCATGTATTTGTGTCTTTTCGGAAATTCAAACTATTTTTCTTTCTTGTGGTTTATCAGCAAAAATAAACAGTGAAATCCCACACTCGGTGAATATACAGATGGTAATATGAATAACAAGAAAAAGCAACAGAAATGATATTAGATATAATGACAGTAATGTATGCCAACAACGCTTTCTGTTTGTTGACGAATTCGCTTCAAAAAACAAATACAGTAATAGTTTAGAGCTGATGAAAAAAAGAGCGAAAATTGAATATAAGCAGTTGTTGGTTACAGTCATATCGCCTTACATTCTTTCTTTGATCTCACATTTCTCGATTGAAGAAGCAGAACACAAAATATATACTACATGACAGAAATGAGAAAAACAGAGCCGAGTTGTGTACAACTGTTAGTCTCACTCACCAGTAATATCTGAACTCATCTACTCGACAATATCTACATCATTCTTACTGCTAATATTAAATTGTTGATAGAATATGTTCACACATACCCTGTAATTAATCACAAAATCTGTTTGAACTGAGAAGAAAAAATAACTCTTATCTGATGCTTAGTAGAAATGAAATGTTTTGTCTAGAAGATATAGCACTTGGATTTCGAACTGTCGTCAGTAAATATTTGCTTATATTTCTTAAAAATACAAACTTCAAATGTACTAAAAGGTTTTTATTTCAGATACCTTTCGACACTAATATTATTAAGATATTTTAACAGTTACTTATTTATTTTTTACGATTTACTGGTGTCTTGAAGATCATATGTCAGACCGAGTAGTAGGTACATTTCTAAAGCTAAGATATCACCAAATATAAGAGAAAGTACCTTAAAACGATCGAACGGATATAATTCAAATCCACACATTTTGTGTGCACATTTAAACATAATATTGAAGCTTAATTTAGCATTATCAAAATAAGTTAGGAAATATGATTATTTGTCATTTTCAGGAATCGTGGTAACATAGGCATATTATTGACAACAAATTGCAATAGCAGAGTTCTCAAATTCTGACTATATTACGTTAAATAGCTCTCAAAGCGTGTAAAGGCTTAGAGATTGAAGATCAGTGAAATGATGCTAGACGCTGAATTCTTATTATGGACAAAGAGTTCAATATCACTCCTTTTGAAGTTGTCATTGGTCAGAGATATACATAGAACGACACATGACATTTAAAAGCACTTTTCAGTCAATTAAGTACGGTCAAATTGACCATTGGTCACTGATCAATATTGTATGAATAATAAATTAAAAGGATTTATATCGTCGAATTGAAAAACATTTTCTGATTAATAAGTAATCGTCTTTGACTCAAGTTAGTAGTCAATTAAGATTTTTATGAGCTTTCCGCGATATTCCGTCTTATAAGTGTATAATTGAATTCACTTCTGTACATAA